AACATCCAAATCCAATAACCCGAACCATTACCCATTGTAATAACAAAACATTTTTGTTTTTTTGTTTTTTCTCTCCCCTTCTTTTTTAAGAGTTTGTCCTCTTGGACTTCATATAGCTCCTCCAAAGCGGTTACTAATTGAGTTTCCATCCAAACCCGTTAACCCCTCTCATATCTTCTGCTGAGCTCTTCTTTTAGCGTAGAAGCCCTCAACAGGTGTTGAAATATCTAATTGGCCCTTACTTAGAGCATTGTCAGTCCTCCTACTTCGAGATCCAATAGGGATTTTATTAAATCGGCAGCAGAGGGGGAAGCTTTGTTGAGGGCAACCAATCAAAGATCAATAAAGGTGAGGATCCGATCCATTTTATTACAATTTTATTTTATAGATTTCCTTCGTTTTGATTGGAGATGAGAAGGGCTATGTAAATTAGTGTTATTATTTCTGTATTATAATTATTATTGTATTTGGGTTTTAATTTGTAGAATCTCTTTCTCTCTGTCTCTCATCCACAAATAATAGAACAGATTTCATCAATAGAAAATGAGTCAAGAAACAGTCCACGGTTTTTATCCCCTTATTAATCTCTTACGGACCCTATTGGGTTTTTTTTTTACGGCCGCTTTCTGAGGTCAACTTGTGATTTCCGTTATTCGGTGGGCCTTATTAGCATATCATCCAGATAATACTATGAGACAAAAGTACACATATGTGTTTGAACAGAAGGTATCTTTATAACTCTCTATTCTAACTTAGAAGTTTTGGTAGAGTGTGAATCCTATTAGAATGCTTGGGGTCCGTTTAGTTACCCGTTTTTAAGGGGGAAAGTGGCTGAAAGCTGCCACAGATGGGACATCTAGATGAGACATCTGTGTCAACTTTCCCCTTCAAAATAAACCAACCAAACTGACCCTTGGGCGTCCTGATCTACAATTTCGATATTCTCGAATAACCCCTACATAGTTTAGATTAGACAACATTTATAGCGGGTTTCGGTAGGATTCCCACTAGCACTTGTAGCGGACCTCAAAGGGCAAGCAACATTTTGTTTTGCAAATATCGGAACATAATTGGACAAGTTTATTTTATTTCAAGGTTTGATCAGAGAATAAAGATTAAGCTAATTGGACCTTTATAATCTTGTAAGCTGCCATCTTGCCCTTGAAAATCACTATCGTCAAAAACGTTATATGTGGTAAATTATATGACTCCATCTTGACCATTTAATTTTGAAATAGAATAAAGATTGAAATAATTGAATATCCTCGGCTTACCTAGAGATTTTGCAACCTCCCCAAAGAATATACTATTATATATTCTTTTTTAGAGGGAGTCATTCCAACCACTCCCCTCTAAAAAAGAATATACAATGATATATTCTTTACATGATATCATTATATCAAACTCCATTTCTAAAATACATATTATTAAATGATGATTTGTATAATACTTTAAATAATTTTAAAAATACAAAAAATATAAAATGATAAAAAAAATACATTAATTAATTTAAAATATGAAAATTATAAAATATATAAAAATTATTTTACTTATTTTATATTCAATTTATCTCAATTTATATTTTAATTTCTCTCAATTTAACAATTCTTTTACTTATTTTAAAAATATATAAAAATTATAAAATAATAATTAAATAGGATATAAATGGAATATCTAAATGTAGTTAGTTAGTTAGAAGGGTAAAAATATGGATTTTTTTGAGTGAATAGTGATATGGAGAGGACTGCATATTTGGAGGAAAAGCTCCAAATATGCAGCCCGTGGGGGAGTTTTGCAGTCGGGCTCCATTTTTTGAAGCTCGGTTGGAATGTCACCGGGCTGTATTTTGGAGCCCGGTTGGAGATGCTCTTGTTACTCAAAGAGGACCTAATTTTGATAGGGAAGTTTTCACGAGGATCGAATCTGCAGTGCTTGTTAATCATACTCTCTTTAAAAGCACGAGTTCGATAAATTTTTTCTATGGTTAATATTACCCTTAGTTTTTTTGAATATTACATTATTATTCTAATCTATTCTAATTTTAACAATATCTTATCTAATTACACGTGAACTATCTATAGGTCAACAATTTAAAAAAAAATATTTTGAATATTTCACTTAAATCTTAATTTATCCAAATACTAATTATATCCTATATTAACTCCATGTGAACTACCTATAACTCAAAAATATAGAAAAAATAAGATTAAGAAATTATACGTAGATAACATATTATAATACATGAAGTATTATAAAAAACCCAAAAGTTTCAAAAATTGCATATAATAGCCTTAAAAGTTTAAAATTACACAAAACACCTTGACTTTTTAAACTAAAAAACAAACATGATATCTAAAAATTTAAAACTTGTAATTAACACCCTCAACATTTTAAAAATTGTAGAAATAACCTCAAAAGTTTAAAGGTTAAGTTACATTTATATACCCTATGTGTTTCGCTATTGAAGCAATTATATACCCTAAGTTACAAAATATAACAAAAAAAAAACCATGTGTTGGTAAAAATTTACAAGTTAGTACCTTCTGTTAACCAGCTGTGAAAATATTCTCTGGAATATTCCCACATGCTGGACCTATGACCAACTTGAATACTTCTTACCCTCATTTATTATATTATTTACTGTATTACCTACCTCCCCCCACAAATTAGATTATTTTTATCATCATCTTCTTCTTTTCGTGGCCTCTAACTTCTTCTTCCTCTTTAATATGGGTAACAGGGGGGGGGGGGGGGTTGGGGGGGGGGGGTTAATTCTTAAGGAGGGGTATTATTGTCCTTTCATGTATTTTCTAACACCGTTAGCTAAATTTAAACAGTTACCAACTCAGGGTATTTTTTTATTATGTTTTGTAACTTAGGGTATATAACTACTACAAGAGCAAAACAATAGGATATATAAGTGCCATTTAGACATGTTTAAATTACAAAAAAAAACATTCTAAAATTCAGAGATTTTAAAACTTAGAAACAACATAGATAGATTCCAGGGATTATCATTAGGCACATAGAAATTTAAAAAAATTAGTAAAAAAATAACCTCAAAGGTACAAAAATTACAAAAACTCTCTCAAAAGTAAAAAAGTATTAAAAAATTCTAAAATTTTAAAACTTATAATTGGTACACATCAAATTTAGAAATTATCAACAGATTGCTAAAAATTTAAATTTTTAAAAAAACAACCCAAAATTTTAATAATTATAAAATACCTTAAAATTTTCAGAGTTCAAAAATATTCATGAATCACTTGACTTGACATTGATAAAAAGTATATCGAACAAAGAAGCACTAATCGAGTTCTTCTTGAAGAACATATTGAACAATTATGTCCTAATTAAAAAAATATTATTCATGAAAAATACAAGAAAATTTAGTAAGTACTTATAAATTTCCATACTTTATTCTAAAAATACTGAAGGAATCATAAACGTAATATAAATTTTTATATAAATAATCTTGTAATATAAACTAAAGTGAAGCCATTGATCAACTACATTGCGAGATATAATAAACTAGATAAGATGAGAAAAATCACATGGATAAAAAATATGCACATGATACTTAGCTATCATAGTGTAAGTAAAAAAAAAATTAAAATTGATATTTTTCTTTTCTCTATATAGTGGCACGACTCTGCAAGTATCCTTATTTGGGATATGACTACCAACGAAAGATTAATTTTTAAGAACACGATCAAAGATAAGCATGTAATAGTACTGTCAGATTTCAAGATCTTTAAATATGAATGTAAGATATTTTACAACTAAAATTCTTATTAAAGGTCATTAAATATAAAATTCATTTATACATGTCTCAAATTTGTATGAAAGATATGCATGCCATCATAAATTGTGTTAATAATATATCAACTTATTGAAGAAATAAGAGATAGATAAGCAAACCAAGCAAATATCCATATAATGATAAAGAAAAAATATTACACTTTAAAGCTAATATGCAGGGCTCATTCAGAATAAGCTGCTAAAACAAAAGCATCTCCATCAAGGCTCTTTATAAATACAACACAAATTTAAATTATTTAATATTTTAAAAATAGCTTAATTTTTTGAGTAAAATCAGGAATCTTTAGAAGTGATTTTCATGAACTCTTTTAATTTTTTTATGTTATGTGGATGTTTTTATCATGTAAAAGTGTAATAGAGTTAGCATTAAATTTTATTTTATGATTTTTTTCTAAAGTCTATCAGTGATTAGCAACAAAATTTATATTCTTTTTAGTTTCATTCTAGCCCATTTTTAATTAATCATATTGTCTTATTAACTTTAATTATCCATCCTTCTTTTATAACATTATCTTTTCAAGTGTTTTTCACTTTTACAACATTATACCTTTTTAAGTCAAGTTTGGTTTCATGCCGATCTAAATAACGTGAAAATTCAAATTAGCTTTAGATTATAGTTATCTCTTGTCAATTCAATTATTATATGAAAATTTTAAATTTGGTGTAACCCATTCAAACAAACATTAAAAAAATAATCAAAATAGTAAAGTTTGAAAACATAAGTGAGAAAAACAATCAAAGTAGAACTGAGAAACAAATTTTAGTAAATAAATAAGTTAAAAATATTTAATCATGATATTTAATCACGTTCGTGCATAAATCCTAGTATTATGAAACCTAGTACCGGAAAAGTTTTGTTATTGCGGTATATCCCATACGAAACCACAGGCCCATCATGCGTTTAGGGAGGCCCACAACTAGTGATTGCAAATGTCGGGATATTTCGTCGTATTAGTAACCGGCAATGGCACAGGCGTAATAACTATCAACACCGGGGGTCTATTATAAGTGAGCTGTCACTGAATCTCCTGACTACTGAGCAGCAGCCCGCCAGAGACAAAAAATTTGAATAAAAGCGGAGCCGCTGCAGCAGAGAGAGAGAGAGAGAGAGAGCGACAAATTCCATTCGCCCGCCATTTCCAAAAGAAATTTCCAAAAACAAATTCGGGGAAAAAAAAATGGAGCAGCTTCGGTTGCAGCGTGTAAAGCTAGGATTCGTCGTCCCAAAATCAGAAAATAATAATAATAATATTGATGATGAAAATAAAATTTTGGCGCCATCTGTGATCCAAAAGCAAAAGGCGAGGGAGAGAGAAAGGGTCGCTGCCGCCGCTCTCCTCCTCCTCTTTCTCTCTCCTCGCTACTCCTCTTCTTCTCTCTCTCTCCCCTCTTCTTCTTCCTCGTCTTCAACCCCCAGCCTCAGGTCACGATCTTGTTCTTTCTCTCTCCAGGTTTCTTTCCTTCTCTGTTTCTCTCTCTAGATCCGATCTTGATCTTGTTGTTGTCGTCGCTTGCAGGAGTGGAGCTTCGGAGGAGGAGGACGAGGAGGAGGCGTCGATCTCTTTCTCAGGCGCCAGCGAGGAGATCTCGTCGTCGTCGTGTATCTCTGACGCGTGCTCGTCGGCGATCTCAGCGGCACGTCGAGTAGATCAGATCCACGGCGATCCGCTGCTGGCTCTCGCTTTAGCTGCTGCTTCTGCTGCTAATCCTCGCGCTTCTTTCAGTCCTAAGGTATGTGTGCTCGATCGGCCTCCTTCATCTCAACACCATTGCCTCTCCTTTTTTGATGATCTCGAGTATTTGACCCGGTGATAGCCTAGTCTAAGTGAACCTCTTCGTTTTGTAGATTTTGAATGCATGTTAATTATTTGGAGTTTGTGGTCCGCGGACAAAAGCATTTGATCTATCTATTTTGTCATTTTTGCTCGATTTTAGATGATTTTGTTCTTTCCCCCTCTAATTAGTTGTTTCATTTTGAGGAATTTGGGTTTGATGCTGTTAAACATGAGATTTATCTTAATTTGCCCTCTAATTCGTTAATATATGTTTTTTCTCTAAATAACTTCGATCTAACTTCTAGATCATAAGGTGATTGATCTGTCAGCTTTCAGTGGCAGCAGATCTTTTCAATGTATAATTCTATTGCATTTTCCTTAAAAAAATTATGCTATATCATTAAACAAACTTTGATCTAACTTCAGTATCATAAAGCGATGGATCGCTCAGCTTTTAGTGCTCTATCAACTTTTAAATCATATGGCATTTTCCTGGGTTTTTAATGATTGCTAGTAATTTTAGTTTTAGGCTGTTAAACATGGGATTTTTATGGATCTGTCTTATATTTTACTAATCTGGCGCTTTAACATTCAAAATTTTTGATCTAATTTCCAGTCTAGATCATAATGCCATTGATCAGTAAACTTTTAGTGGATTATTCTCTTTCAAGTTTTTAATTATATTACATTTTCTTGATTTAAAAATGATTATTAGTAATTTACTGCTACATTTATAGTTTTTTTGATTAAGTAACAAAATGCAAAGAAAAAGTCACGGATTAATCAGTTAACCGTGACCAATGGATCTACAGGTGGTGAAGAAAGCTCGATCAAAAATCCAGAAGCAAAAGAGGAAATATAAGGATATCTACAAGATGAGAGTAGTTTACAGCATGCTGAATTCCCAAGGGAACAATGATAAGGACGACAACGATGAAGCTCCAGCTGTCTTCGCTTTGCCCAGCACTACAGTAACCACCATCACTCCTACTACTTCTTCCTCAGTCACCACCACAGCCACTAGCACCACCAGGAGATCAAGGCTGCGCCCGATGAAGAACAGGAAAACTGGCTCCAGCTCAAGCTCAACGACTGCAAGAGCCAAAGCTAATAGCAACACGAGCATGAGCATTAAGCGTCGAGCTGAGGCCATCGTTGATTGGCTCTCGGGCAATGGATGTGCTTCGGAGGTCAGGATCCGGTCTGTGGTCGGGGACAGCCCAGATACCAGCAAAGCCCTCAGACTGTGAGTATGCTTAAAATTACAGCTTAATGCAGTGCTTTTTTGTTTTGGCGTTGATTCTTTTTCAAGCTCTTAGTTCCTTCATTTTTAATTCCTTTATTTTACTACCCTTGATTCTTGGATATGTGCATTTTGTTGCACTTTGGTGGGGTCCACTTTTTGGTTGTTATTGCTTTTTAATCGCATTAAAAATTCATTTTGCTTTCAATTTTTCTGTGCTAATGAAAAAGAAAATCTGAATCAGATATGATGATTTTTCTTTTTTCTTTTGAAAATTATCATAAACTTTGTTTAAAAGTTTAATATAAAAACTGTTAAGAACTTTCATTAACCACTCTGTTCTTTTCGTGACGAACATTTACCTTGAAATAAACCAGTTCCCTTGGTGCTTATTGAGCACCAAATAAATTTTCGTTTTCATTATACTATCACAAAACTTACTACGAACTTTAAGTTTCATGGTATCAACTTGAAAAAGAATGAAATTTATGAGGATTTGGATAATAAATATTTGTGTTGGAAGTTATGTTCTTACTAATGAAATAACGAGGTATGTATGTACCCATGGTCTTTCCTCATATTGTAAGAGAACACTAAAAATTCATGATAATTTCTTAACGTTATTAAAATACTGTACACTGAATTGAATGGGTACACCATGATCTATTTTTGTTTAAATTTGGTATTCATTTCCATAACTTCCTTTTCTTTGCTACTTCGCATGCTCAAAACTCTCTATTTTCTGCTGGTTGAGCACTTGAGCTCCAAATTTGACTAAATAGTAATCCGTACCGTTCAATTGCAGTACATACACTTTGACTAGTTCTACACGGGCTTAATTAATTTGCTTTCCTTTGTTAATTTGAGGGTCCAAACTCCCAATTCTTCTGCACGACCAACACTTCAGGGGTCCTGAGGGTCCCTGCGCCTGACCCATGGAACAACTGCACGCTGCATTGTCTGTTGCACTTTTAGATTCAACTAAGGTGTACTATTATTAGTACCATAGTCATTTCAGTTTCAATTTTACTGTGCTTATTAATAAATTAGATTTGACCAAGCCCAATCTGCTCAACTATTGCTTAATAATTAAGTTTAAGAACCCCTGGAAAGACGAATGCATTAGTTAGTAATTGTTTAGAGGGGGACTCTTATGAATTGTTCAAAATACCTTTTAACTGGGACTTACCCATCTGATGAAAGTGCTAAAGCTAGAACTTGATATCCTTGGTCAATTTGATGTTATACTCCCATCTGGTTGTAAAGTAATTAAATGATCCCCCTTGCATATCTGCTAGTCAAATTTAACTTATCTAATTACCTAATTAAGCTTAAACAAAAAGGATTGTATATATTTATGAATTCCCTTCTCTTTTTTATATTTCGATTTCAAAGCTACATTATTTTCTGTCTGAGTTCTGCCTGACTAAAAATTGTAGCCAATATATAGCTTAATGATTTCCCTTTTAGCTTAGTTAATTACTTTTCCTTTGTTATTGTCATCATAGTCGCTTTTTCTATTCGTTAATTTTTTTCGCATCGAACTCTTCATGTGGTTAATCATAACCTGAACTCTTGATCTTTTACAATATTTTACTGTTGGATCCATCTGTAGATTATTATCAGTAGTAGCTGTTACATCTCAAATTCACTACGGTAATAGTTAAATATGCCCAGATCCAATATGACATATCTGTTGATAACATTCTTCAATTTGAACTATATGTAGATTGGTGAAGAAGGACGAAGTGAAGAGAATGGGCGCAGGAGGGCGCAGTGATCCCTTCTTGTATATGGTATACTTGCTTGTATGCTCATAAAGAATAATCATCTTTTGCTGGTTTTGTAATTTATACTTTAACTAATTTTCTATACGTTTTTCCGTAATTTATTTTGAACAGGTGAAGTCGAAAGAGGCAACACAGAACTGATTTTAGCTCCGTTTACGGGGGAAGTTATATGGAGAAGATAATGAAATTGATCTCCTTTTTAACATAGTTTGGTCTAGTGTTTAGAAAAGAATTATGAGCCTCAAAATGGCTCATATATACCAGAGAGTTGCTCTCTGTTTTAACTCATCATTTTTAATCTTTGTTGTTTACTTTGTACCTATGGGTTATATAGTTACTATACTAGACAGGAGCGAGAATGGGCATGAAAATTTTGGACGTAGCAGTTGTTCATGACCCTGAGAAAGAGTAGCGAGTACAGCACCTAAGGAATAAGCTGTAGGCGTGTAGGTAAGAACGCAAGTTCTCTTTCAAATGATATATACAAGTTGCTTTGTTTACTCTGCAGGACTTTTGCCAAATGGTTGAAAGTGTGTTTTAAATGGCGAATTCGCGGTGCTTTATCTTGTAATTTTCTGGTAGCGACTGTGATGTTCTTGGTGATCTTTTCTGTTTTCTGCCGGTATGTTTAATTTATAATATACGAACATAATTAGATTGGTCACGGCTGAGTTTTCCTCCTTTCTTTCTTATATGCCTTTTCTCTTTTTATGCATACTAGTTGGATTGCACGTACAATGTACATGGTAAAATATTTATTATTTATTTTTAATTTGTAATTTTATTTAAAAGATTTGGTATAAATATTAAATGTAAACAATGGATCAAACATATAGACAGAAGTTAAAAATTCATAACATTTGAACAATAAAATTATATTTAATGATTGATTGGGCGATAGTACATTGGTTGCATTTATAACGTGATCGATTGATCAATCAAATACTGTCACAAAAATATACCTAAATGTAATGTTTAATGATGTGGATGTAAATCCAAGCTCATGGCATTAGAACCTCGACTAAGCATTTGCAATACCTAATGTGTGAGTACATATATTCACCCATGAAAATTTCACAATCCCATATAAAATCTAAAACACTCATTAAGGATTCAGCAAACTAAGGCTTCACAAGCTCCCAACACCATTTTCATAATCCTAAGTTAGAGCATGACTAATTTTTATTTCACAGCAAAAGAAGACAAACTCTTTTTTTCCCTCGTAGTTTTAACTCCAAGAACCCTTTTAGCTAAGTTGGTAGTTGAATAAAAATTTTCACTAACAACCTTCTGGTTAGCCTGTCCTTCCTTTTGAATATCGCCTGCTATCTTTAGCATTCTCTACATTAAGCCGCCCCATTTGACGCTGAAGATCCACATGAGAATCACTTGCTACCTTTGCTTTTGAATTCTTTTTTGAGTCAACAAACATTAGTTGTAATCTGTATAAAGCATAGACATCACACTTGTTGATCTCATACTCAAAGAGATGACATTCGCAGTTGTTCAGTGGCTGTGGATTCATATAGTAGGACCTCATCAGTCCTCCAAGCTCCTCCATTATTTACTTCCTAGACTCATGCCAACCACGCCCATTGTAATCTGGCACGTGTAAATGTATCAGTGTGTGCACATATATGTTTATACGTATGTATATATGCAGATATGAATATGTGTGTGTGTGTGTGTTCATGCAAGTTATATGTATATACATGTAATTATTAAGGTAGAAGCACTTTTAATGTTTCTATATTTGTTGAATAACAATCATGGCACTTGGATCTCAAAGCTAATATCGTAAATTCTTTACCAAACATCAAGAAAATAAAAGCGGCTTGTGTTCATGAAATGTGATTAAACTAAGTAACACAAACAGAACTAGGTGAAAATTATAGGATGATTGTGCAGTGTATAAAGGGAAGACTTGAGCAAGCTACAAGCTCCCAAATGCCCTTTTCTATAACCTCTGTAATTTTTCAAAATCCAACAGTAAATTGTGTCTAGTAAATTGTGTAGTTGTAGCTTCAAGCACTGAATCTTATCATGAGCTCATATTGTGTGATTATACAGTTGTTATGCTCTCATTTACTGTATCTTATAAAACATAATAACATATAAATATTTTTTTATGGGAAAATTGCTTCTAGCCTCCTTTATTACAAGTATTCTGCCCGCCTCCAAGACTTTTTCAACGCTTCCAAAACCCCAAAAAACAAAGTCATAATTCCTAAGCCCCCAAAACACAAAACCCAAGAGGTTAAAACATCTGAAGACGATAATACTCTCTCTCTCTCTCTCTCTCTCTCTCTCTCTCTCTCTCTCTTCATGATGTTACTGTGATGATTTGAAATGGTTTTTTTTTTTTTGTTCCCTCCAAAATTTTCCAATGGTGTCGAGACATCGGTGGTGAAACTTTTCCGGCGTTCGTTCATGAGGCGAAGAAAACTACGATCTTGAAGACGGTGATGACGAGTTGCGCACCAACCCCCTTAAGTTTACATATTGTTGTAATTTTTTTAAAAATCAATGACTTGATATTAAAGTAGTTATATATATTTTTTATTTCACTGTAATAAGTTTGTTGTTAAACGTATGAGTTGGTGGTGAAGGAAGGTTACGTGTTGGTTTTGAAGGTTACGAGTTGGTTGTGAAGTTTACGAGTTAGTTACCAAGGGTACATATTGGTTATGAAGGTTACGAGTTGGTTATGAGAAGATTACGATTTGGGTGTGAAAAAAGTCTTGGGGGCTCAGGGAACTATGGTTTTACTTTTGGGAGTTTTGAGAGCGTTGAAAAAGTCTTGGGGTGAGCGGAATACTTGTAAGGAAGTTGGAGGCTAGAAGCAATTTTCTCTTTTTTTTTATTTCCAAAGCTCAAAACAAGTAGGCAGTTAGTCTTGACACATATACAAGCATCAGTTCGAATACCTAAGTTAGTATTTACTTGAATTTTCATATTTAACCTCTCATTCAAGTTCACTGTCCATAACATTTACTTTAATCATTTGAAAAACTTAAATTACTTCAACAGAATATCCCTAATATATTCTTTATTAGTTAAGTTACGAATAAATATTAGAGGAACGAAACAATTTGGAGGACAAATAAGCAATTGTAGTGAATCATATGCGGATTATATTATTAACAACCATAAGCATTATTGAAATCATGCATAGAAACTTATTTGGTTGAGTCTTCTTTCATGGCTGTAGCCGCAAATAATACCTTCTCATTGTTACTATCCATCATCAAGAATTCCCCAGTAAATTATTACTTCTATCCAAGATCCTTGCCATGACCTGGAATAGTTGAATTCTCTTTGCACAACTATAACATCTTTGTTGGAATGAATAACGTTTAACGTAATACTATATGTTGTGAGTGTGCTGTTGACATGAACATGTGGATTATACGTTGTAGAGGAGGTCCTGTGTCAAAGGAAAAATAGTATGATATAGTTAAACTTATATACCTCCTAGCTTCCCAAAATCCTACATGCGTACATGCATATGTCACAGTTGGCACATAAATACCTCAGATACAACACAATTTAAATTTAAAACATCAAAAATCTCTGTGATTGTCCTTCATCACTCCCTTTTTTTACTTTTGGTTTTTAGTGGTGGGTATTGTCATGATTGTCACATAAATACCTAAGGTAAAAACATAGTTACTTTTAAATCAAAATTCTGTGTTTGCCCTCCATCCTTGTTCTTCTTTTTATCCTTTACTTTCTGGTCTTGGGTGTTCCGATCATCTTTAAATGAAATTATGAAACACTAGCATACTTATTAACATAGGTTGGTCCTTTTCTATTTATAAATGCGTCGAGAAAAGTTGAAAGCAGAGCTATGAACGTATAAAATAGAGAAAATATAAAAATTTCATCCTGATACATGTGAGCAAAAGCAAACCCATAACCTTCTTATATGTACATCAAAGACCCCGATATATACAATAAGAACATATATGATCCAAATCCAAATCCAATGCTAATTAAGCTTAATTAAGCCTGATGAAGCCTAATTAACTCCAACTCCTAGCCTAATTAAGCCTAGCCCTAGCTAAAATTAAGCATTAACTAACCCTACACTTTTGGATCCTTAATGGGGCTGTATGTGAAAATTTCAAAACGAAATTAAGAAATTTAGGAAATGTAAGAACATTCACATATGCAAATATCATAGCTAATGTTATTTGAAATCTAATAATCAAGAAATAAAGTGCACATAGAAAGAAATTTAAAAATCATAAGCAAAATTTAGAAAATGATCAAATCATACCCGAATATTTTCTCTGATAAAAAGCTTCGTCAATGAGTTTCCTTCGTGATCCTTGTCGATGCCTAAAATCTGAGAATTGAGGAGATGATGGCAAAGGGGATGCAGTGATGATGAGGAGAATAATAATCATCTTTGGCAATTGATGAATTAAGATAGTAAGCCGGCGTTGCCGAAGCAAAGTCGTAACCGACGGAATGGAGAATGAAATGAACGAAGGATTAGGGCTCATGATTTCTAATTTCTGTGTAACGAATAAAAGGGATAACTTTGTTATATTT